GGTTTCAATCCTGGGACCTATGGGTTATGGGCCCATCACGCTTCCGCTGTGACACTGTGATTTAATGCTATGACTAGTACAATACTCGTGTATTATACGGGTGCTTACTAATTTTTTTAAAAAAATTTAAAATTAATGAGAAAAAATAGTTTTAAAATTTAAATACTTTTTATAAGAATATATATATTATATATTATTATATATTTATTATGATATTTTTTATTTGTGCGACTTACTTGTGTTATATTATACTAATTTATAAACTTACACTATATAACTACATTAAATATAAATATATCAATTGAGAAATAATTTTATTTTTCTAATGAATTTTAAAAATATTATTATTTTTTATTATTATAAAGATAAATATAATTTATTTATTTTATATATACAATATAGATGTCAAATCGAAGATCATCAAAAGATGATTAATTTGATATATTATATATGTAAAACTAAGAAGAAATACAAAAGTTATCTACTTTTAAAATACATTTTTAATTCAATAGTTTATTGAAGGAAGCAAATCAAAATTTAGGTTATATTAGTAAAAGTGATATTAAAATACTTAAGTTAGCTAAATAATATTTATGGAATACACGAACATAGATTATTAATTATTAATATATTAATATTACTTGTCCAAACCTAATTACGAAGCATGATTTTTCGCCAAATAGGATTTCGAAGCACCAGAAGCAGCCACGTAGACTCAGCGCATTCTGCAATTATATATAGGGAGGATATATAGGGAAGATAGGGAGGATTGTTGAAAACAATATATTTGTCTGATTAATTTAGAAGTAAATTAATTGATAAACATCCTAAAAAGCCCAATTAGAAGCATCCGTAACATGATGGATGTCCGTCGTCATTCAATGGGCTCTATAGGCCCACACTGTTTAGCCCTGGACAGGTCAATTAATTCATTTTTCAAATAAAATTAGAGGGAGCCCAACTGTTAAAAAGAAAAAGCCCAACTGCAAAGCAAATATGAGAGAAGAACACATTTCTGAATGACAAAGAAAATGACCTTTTGAACAATTTAATGTATGTTTTTTTTTTTTTTTTTAGAATTGTGATACTTTCCTTCAAATTAGCATTGTCAAACGGGTCGGTGGCCCGCGGGCTGGCCCGCCCACCCGCTTAAACGGACGGGCTTGGGCCTTTGCTTGGCCAGCCCGTTCAATCGCGGGCCTATTTGGCCCGCCCCGTTTGGCCCGCGGGCTAGGGCGGGTTGGCCCGATTTTTTTTTTTAAATTATTTAAATTTAGTATTTTTTATTTTACTTTTAATTTTTAACTTGCACATGAAATTTTTTTTTTTACATAATAAAAATATTAATAAATCAAATAATATTTTATGTCAATTAAGTCGTTCCTGCGCGTGAATACCCTATAACTATTGATAAATAAAAATAAAAATAAAAACTAGATGACAAATATTTAACATCATTACACATGAAACCTTACTAGTCTATTAATATACTAGTAAATATAAGGATAAACAAACCAAAAAATATATAAGAGTGCAAATACCATAAAAAAAATAAACAAAACCCACGGGCGGGCCAATTTGGCCCGCGGGCTAATGCGGACGGGCCACGGACTATGTATTTTCCAGCCCGTAGAAATGCGAGCCATTTTGGACCGCCCCGTTTGGACTGCGGGCCAGCGCGGGCCGGAGCGGGCTGGGCCGGACCGGCCCGTTTGACAGTGCTACTTCAAATGATGAATATATTAATTCTTAATGAATGAAATTATTTGAAATATAGAAAAAAAAAATGAATGAAATTATTTGAAATATCTTAATTTATTAACAAATTTCTTAAATTTGTTAATTTATCCAATAACTTAGTACGATTGAATAGATTAATTCATTAGGAAATAATCTTCATTTGAATTACTTTAACTAAATATTCGAACTAATGGCTCACTTTAATCATCAATTGAATGATAAATAATTACAAATATTAGTTATAAATAGCTCAGATTAAAAAAATTCAGTGTTGGCGTAAATTTTAATTTCCCTTTGAAAAAACAAAATAAAAAAAATATGCGATGATTATTTGTATGGAGATCTGTGCAAGTTGAAGAAGATTTGTGAAGAGTCTTAATCAACATTGAATGCCCAATTTCACAGATTATTATGTGATCCCTCCAAATTCCAATATTTCAAACTTTTGAATGTATTCAAATTTTCTGAATATTTGTAGAAATGAATGAACACTGGGATTTATTGCTAGAAAACAGGGTATTTAAAAGTGTTGCAGATATTGCACTTTTTTAATTGAAATATCACTGTTATGAAAACATAAAAAAATAAAAGTATAAATATTATAGAACAAGTATGCATTTTTATTGGCACGAGTTGCAGATATTGCACTTTTTTAATTGAAATATCACTGTTATGAAAACATAAAAAAATAAAAGTATAAATATTATAGAACAAGTATGCATTTTTATTGGCACGAGACGTAGATCTGGTTAATAGTAGTCTAGCTTTCTGATATGGTCCAAGATAAGCGACTCTGTCTTTCGAAAGGTTTCTCTCCGATTTGAACATGGATCTACCGGTCCAGTTTGGTCCAAGTCCGTAAGCTCGTCGATACCTGCAAAAGCGTCGAAATTGCTCCAGCGCAAGACTCTCCGACGCCTAAACCAACATCTCGGAATAGAGGAATAGTGTGCAATAAATATCATAGTAATTGTATTAAATGAGTATTACCTAATAACTGCGGAATTCAACATATATATATATAATCAACATACATATATAGGGATTGGTTCAAAGAAAAACTAGGTCTAGTGTGAAAACCGTGAGAACCATATTTGATGCTATTTTCAGTTGTGTATGATGTTATTTTTAATGTTGTATAGTGCTATTATTTTTACAAATGCAAATATTTTTTTTTTTGGCTACATTTAATAAAATACATTCTAGTTAAAATAGCACTAAAACACAATCAATCATAGCACTACATACAATTAATTGTACGGACTCCCCTCTAGAGTCATAAGTCCTCAAATATCCATGGACATAGTGTAATTCAGTCGATGCCCGGGACATATGGGTCGACATTCGACCCACCTCACCCTTTGTCACGCGTCTCGACCCATGTTAGACCATTCAAAGCCAGACAAGCCTCCCACGACCCTTCTCACCCGGCTCGGTCATTAGGCCTACTCGACCCTTACCCTACGGGTCCTTGTCCGGTTAATTTGGATCGGTGTTATAATCCCTATCACTTTCACTAATTTGTGTTTTAGAAATATAAAATTTATGAAAGCCCCCATTTTCTTCCCACGAGTTGGCGAGTTAGGAAGTTTTCTCAACCTTCATTTTATTTTAATTCCCTTTGATCAATAAATTTATCCCCATATGGATGATGACTTTTGATGTCTCTGCATGTGGTTTTTGCTTTGTCACCATTATTAAGTTGTTTTCTTAAATTTAATTAGATTGTCTCATTAGTTGCTGTTGGTTGAAATGATCAAATCAGTTATTACGCGATGATAAATGTCAAAATCTAAGGAGTTGACTCTATGATAATCTGATGTTTACATGAGCATTAGATCTCTAATAATTTATGATGACTTTCATAATATATCACACTCGGTATTCATCATCTACAAACAATTTTATGGTCAAAGTGAAAATACTATAATATGAGTTTTGAATTTGTCTTAAAATACATTAGCTGGGAGTTTGTCCTGCATAAATTCTATGGAGTCATCGGATGACTTCTTTAAGGAGCAATTCATAACTTTATGTATTGGCACATGTCCAATGTGTATTTATTGCAAGTCAAATGTCAATACACCGAGCTTTGCCGCCCTTGTGGTCCTACCCGGCTCGATTCCAAATTAGTCGGTTCCCCTGTAGATCCGGAAACCGGAAGGTTCCTGTACCAAAAAAAAAATGTCAATACACCATTTTTGAATAACTATGGATGACTTCATAAGCCAAGTCATTGGATGACTCCATAGCAAAACCGGTCTGCAGAAATTCTATGGAGTCATCGAATGATTCGTTTATAGAGTCATCAATTACATTATATACTGATACGTGTCCTATTACCACCAATGCACACATCTTGTATAGTGTAAATTAAACAAAGGATTAAAAAAAAAAAATACTAGCCTTAACTAGGAGAAGCAAAACATGACAAATCGAAAGAGAGCATAGAGTAAAAGGAGTTATTTACAAACGAAAAACTTCAAACTTTGTAATAGTGAGACAAAGAAGAAAACATTGCGGTGTGGGCATGAGCAAGAGAATCTTTGTTCTTTTATATTGAACTAGTCACTATTTGGTTTCTAAGTTGGATTGGCATTTATCTATAAACTTGCAACTTTTCTAGCTGGCATCTCCTCTAGTTGCTTGTTATGCTCTAGCAGAAACTGTGTGAATGTGAGTGTTTTGCCTATGCTAATTTTGGATTGTAAGAAACGCGGGAATAAACGGGTCCATGCAAATGAAGCGCATCAAGATAGGGAATGCTCAGCTGAAACTCGAGTGAGGTTCCATTGCAAAATCAATTGATGGAAAAAGGAATAGCCTATTAGACTTATAAATTATCTTTTCTCCGTATAAATGAGATGCATTTACTCAAGAAACTTGGTCATAGAACTCAATGCTATCACCATTTGTATTATTCCTTGATAAATGTAGCACATTTCCATGGGTTTTTCATGCAAGTTTAAAAATGGCACAAAAAATGGAAACTACACAATTACCACAATTTTTTTTTACCGTGTCAAATATCCAAATAAGGAACAAACCTTAGTAGGCCACAAATTGACCCTACTTTCTTGATGTTTTTTTCCAAGCACCACCAAATTTATACAACTAAGTAATTTCAATTTTCAAAAATACCCCTTAAGCCCTCACCTCACTCATGCACTGCAGTTAAAAAAGCAAATTTACCCATCAAACAATCATTACATTCACACAAAAGCATTTTACTTTAGAAAAAAAAAACACCCTTTGGCCTCTCAAGCTTTGCAAATGACCACAAAACAAGGAAGGAGAGCCTTAGGGTCAAGCAAGTAAAGCTCCTCGATATTCGAATATGCACCAACTTTCCCAGCCAACGAGTCGAACCCCGTCTGGCCCGCCATCTCCCGAACATTCTCCATAGGCCGGTGCACCCGACCCGCAACAACCCTACACACGATCAGCGCCTTTCTCACTGCCCGACCGTCCTCAACCGACTCAATTGACTCAAACGCCCTCGTGCTGGTGGAAGTTGTGAAAACCCCAACACCATGCTTTAGCTCCATTTTACCGGAAAAACCGTTTCGGATAACTCGGCAAACCGAGCATTTTTCGGACGTGCAGAGACTGGACGACCCATTTGTGCCGAGCGGGCAGGATATGGTCGTCCCGTAGAATCTCAGTAGCTCGTTGCCGTCCGCCAGGCAGCGCGGATGTTTTTTCGGGAGCTTGCCGGCTTTTGATTTTACGGATTCGCGATATTCTTCAAACCGGATTAGGGTTTTCTGTGTGTTGTGGACTTTGAGGACACGGTCGATTTTCACGCAGGGGTTGTCGGGCTTTAGCCAGCTAGACCGGCAGATGATTTCAACGATTTTTCGGGACGAGTCGCCCTCCACGAGTTCGGTTACTGCCAAGAAAAATAAGGAAAACAGAGCAAATTAACAAACAGGGATCTTTTTTTTTTTTTTGGTACAAAGAAAGAGGCCGAAGGCCTAAAATTAGACTAGAACTTGTCGGGGATAAGAAACCCCGATCACGTCATGTTCTAGCCAATCACCTAAAGTAGGGGGGGCGGGGGTGATCTTTTCAATCAGAAAGAAGGCAGAAGCACAAACTTGGTTTGACTGATTATCCCTTTTCCTATGCATTTACTTTCTAGTATAACTACTCCATATCACTTAGGGTAATCTCAAAGCATATATAAAAATATGGACAGAATTCAATTCAGCTACTTCCAAGAAAGCCCTTGAGATCACTTTGAACATGATGTTTGCATACACAAAGAAGAAGTCCCAAAATGTCAAAAAGAAAGAAACACTGAAAAATCAAGAATTTCAATTTCACAAGACAAAGAAAGATTTCCGAGTCATCCAAAGCCCCAAAAGAAAAATGCACAATGGTTCTGTCAGTGCTACTACGTGCCTTGACACACCCAGCCAAGGCAGTTTAAAATGAACATGTTTCATTACAAAATGAACATGATTTACACATGTTCATTTTGTAATGAAACATGTTCATTTTAAGAAAGCTTTGGCACACCTTGCTAGGTGTGCCAAGGCACACCTAATTATTTGCGATGGTTCTGTAACGGAACTATTCCGTCGGGATTTGTAAGTATGGTTTTGTAACGGGATCTTTTCTTTTGTTTACTCTTACTTAAAGCAATAGTAAAAGCAATTCTCTGGTTAAAAAAGGGAGGAGCAAAACTCTGAAAAGCACCCAAAACCTCACCAGCATGCTTGGAAAGGTGATGCAACTCAAGAGCTTCCCACCTCACAAACTGTTCCCCGCACTTATGGCACGAAACTACACCGCCGTCCTTCTCAAAGGACGCCCTTTTCTCCCTTTCCCCCAAAACAGAACCCATTTTCCGAGGCGGGGTCAGCGAATTCCTGAACGAAGGGTTGAAATAATGCATCGTCGGGTGCCCGCCGGGCCCAGGCGTCCCCGGCCGCAAGGTCCCGACGAACGTCGACCCTCCACCACCGTCACCGCCGCCGCCGAAACCCTCGTGAAAGCCGCCGTAGCCGGTTATCTTGAGCTCGCACCTGGAGTTGCTGAGAATGACCTCGTGGGCTATGGGGTTCACGAACTCGCTGCTCCCTATGGACCTCGGGCTGCAGCTCGGCGGCCGGTCGAGGTGCCGCTTGCTTCCGTGAATCACGTCTTTGAGGTTGGAAATCGACCGCGAGCAGCCGGACCGGCCCGATTTCCGGGTCAGGATGGAGCCCAGATGCTTCCGGGTCTTGGGGGTGTGGACATCGGACGGCTCCGATTTGCAGTGGAGGGATTTCCTCAGCGAGAACCACACCGTCGAATTGTTGTCCTTCTTCTTCTCCCCCATTAATGGTTGCAGAGTTTTT